ATGGATTAGTGGCAGTTATACTGATGAGGTATATAAGATTGGATAGTGTCTTAAGCCAATCGCTTTTGAGATATGAAAGACAGAAGCAAACAGAGACACAGGGGGACCTCATACCACCAAGAAAGCAGTGCTGGGAGCAGAGTGTGCCCTTTGGCATGAGGTTCCTGCACTGAGATGTTCCTAGAACAAGGGAAGACTGATGACAAGGACCTTTCTCCAGAGCCGACACAGAAAGTCTTCCCCTGGAGCTGATGCCCTGAATTTGGACTTGTAACCTACTGGACTGTGAGAGAATAAAGTTCTCTTTGTTGAAGATATCCACTTGTGTATTTCTGTTATAGCAGTACGAGATGACTAAGACAGTCATGTAGCTAGAGATACTTTCTATGAATAGCTTTTTAAAAATTCCTTATACCATATAAATATTTAAAATCTAAAAAAAAATTCTTCTATCATATTTAAAATTTTCTTACCCATCTGATGATATGAGGATATTAATTATAGTGATTTAAATTTTTTTTTTCTTCTGCTCCTCTCATCATCGTTTTGGTCTTTGTCTTACATGTTAGAGATTTTCCACAAACGTCTGAGGATCCCAGGCTGTCCATGATATTTAAGACTGCAACAGTACAAAAACAGGAAGCTATGAGTTGAATGTTGAGTCTTGTTGACTGATGGGTTTCAGTGTAGCGTTGTCTATCAGGGGCTCCTCTATTAAGGGGCCCCATGCTGTCAGCATCTGTAGGTCTTATCTCTGGATAGTACCCTTGCCCCTGCTAAGAGAGGAAGGTGAGTGGGGTGGGGCATGGAGTGGGGTAGAGGTGGAAAACTGGTTACCAGTTTATTGGGAACCCAATAGGAAGGAGGCTGGGTGTCTCACCCTGTTTTCAACTGTGCCTATCCCTAAGAACAAAGTGCCTTTGGCATACACTCACCTGAGACTAAAATCACTCTATCCCATTGCAGAGGAGCAGGGGGAGGGTGTCATCCGGAGGATACTTAGGAATCCAGCTGAGTTTTAACATTATTTTCCATCAACTCCTTTTTGAGATTCTGCCTCCTAAATAGGCTTACTTCCCCCACCCTACCCCTCACTCCAGGCATTTCATTGCCAGCATTCTAAGATTTGCTTAGTTAACTATCATTCTTCCATCTGTTTTTCAGTTTACAAACATTTATTAAATATCCTGTTATCTCTTTTCTACATCTTTTTATCTTCTTGTGGATTTTATGCTTAAAAGAAAAAAAGGAAAAAAAACAGACTTTGCTGTTGTTTTAGTGGAATTAGGGAGAGAATAGAAAAAAATGTGTCATGCTTAACCAGATGTCCTTACCATTAATCCAAGTCCAGTTGTAAAACATGAATCAGATTATATCACTCCCCTGCTCAAAATTTTCCAAAGGTGTGCCACTGCTATGGGAATAAAGTCTACTCTCCTTGCTGTGGTCTGCATGTACCATTCTTCCCCTTTTCCACTATGCTCCAACCACACTGGCTGCTTCTAGCCCTTGAATAAACAGCCAAGCTCTTCCCACTCCCCTTAGAGGCTTTGTACTTGCAGTTCCCTTTGCTTTCGTCCCTCCCCGCCCCACCCCCCCAGATATTCACATAACTGGGTCCTTCTCACTATTATTATTTTTTAATTGTGCTTTAGGTGACAGTTTACAGAGCAAATTACTTTCTCATTAAAAAATTTACACATAAATTGTTTAGTGACATTGGTTGCAATCCCCACAACGTGTCAGCGCTCTCCCCCTTTCCACTCTGGGTTCCCCATTTCCATTCATCCAGTTTTCCTGTCCCTTCCTGCTTTATTGTCTTTGCTTTTGGGCAGATGTTGCCCATTTGGTCTCCTATAGTTGATTGAACTAAGAAGCACATTCCTCACATGTGCTATTGTTTTATAGGCCTGTCTAATCTTTGACTGACAGGTAGATTTTGGGAGTGGCTTCAGTTCTAAGTTAGCAGGGTGTCCTGGGGCTATAATCTAGGAGGTTCCTCCAGTCTCTGTCAGACCAGTTTAAGTCTGGTCTTTTTTTGTGAATTTGAATGTTGTTGTACATTTTTCTCCTGCTTTGTCTGGTACCCTCTATTGTGATACCTGACAGAGTGGTCAGTGATGGTACCCGGGCACCATCTAGTTCTTCTGGCATCAGACTGGGGGAGGCTGTGGTTCATGTGGTCCTCTTCTCATCATTTAGGCAAAGGTCTCTAGTTATCTTCGAACATCCATTCTCTCCTTCTTCCTAGGAAATAGAATGCCCAATTTTTAGCTTAGCACATGGCCATCCAGAACAAGGACTATAATTTTCAGCCTCTTTTACAGTTACACGTGGCTGGCCAAGTTCTATCCAGTGGGATGGAACTAGAAATAGTAAATACAACCTGCAGGAAAAGTCCTTAAATGTTAGAAGCTTGTCCTTCTTGACCATCTCCACACCTCCAA